ATCCAGGATCTTTCCTCTGGACCGTATCCCTCCCAGTCCACGAGGTACTGGAGGAGTCTGCCCCGACGACGAGAGTCCAGGATTTCATGGACCCGGTAAGCCTCCTGACCGTCGATGATGATGGGAGGAGCTCTCTGGTCACCAGCCTCATCTAGGCCCTCCTCTCCACTCGGACCACCAGCGGGCTTGAGCAAGGAGACATGAAAGGTGGGTGAGATACGGTAATGGTCAGGTAAGGCTAATCTAAAAGAAACTGGAGTGATTTGTCTAATGATTCTGAAAGGACCCACGTACCTGGGACTGAGCTTCTTGCAAGGTAACCGGAGTCGTATGTTTCGGGTGGACAACCAAACCCATTGCCCTGGTTGGTAGTTGGGATTGGTACGCCGATGTCGATTAGCCTGTCCTCTGGTGCGATGCACTGCTCTTTGTAGATGGATATGAGCACTATTACACGTCTCCTCACTGCGTTGTAACCATGAATTAATTGCAGGTAAGTTCGAGGGTTCTCCAGACCATGGAAACAATGGGGGTTGGAAACCTAGGATGCACTGGAAGGGGGTGAGCCCTGTAGATGGCTTACGGAGTGAATTTTGAGCATACTCTGCCCATAACAGGTAGCGACTCCAGTCGAACTGATTCTTCTGGCAATATGAGCGAAGGAAGCGGGTGAGTTCCTGGTTTAATCTTTCCACTTGACCGTTGGCTTCAGGATGATATCCGGAGGTTAGGCTGACATTAATGTTCAGTAGCTGACAGAAAGCGGACCAGACTCGGGAGGTGAACTGCGGACCCCGATCAGAGACTATATCCTCCGGTAGACCGTAGAATCTAAACACATTGTTGCAGAGGACCTCAGCGGTTTCCAGGGCAGTGGGGAGCTTGGGAAGAGGTATCAGTCTGCAGGCTTTTGAGAAACGATCAATTACCGTGAGAATGGTAGTGTGGCCCTGAGAGAGAGGTAGGTCCGTCACGAAGTCGATGTGTGACCATGGTCTTTGTGGGATGGGTAATGGATGAAGAAGCCCAGCAGGTAATTGATGTGGGGATTTGGATGTATTGCAGATGGTGCAATTTTGAATGAACGTGATGGTGTCCGTTCGTATAGAAGACCACCAGAACTTGTTGTTGAGGAGTTGTATAGTAGCTGTTATACCTGGATGACCGGAACTTGGGTTAGTGTGTACCATTTGTATTACTCTCTGTCTTAGGGCCAGTGGAACATACATAAGGTTGGGTGAGGTTTCAGCCGGTGGAGGCTCGGTGACCCGGGCTTCCGCGATTTCGGTTAGTATGTCCCACTACACAGGTGCGAGAATGATAGTGGATGGAATGATGGGTTCTTGATCTGGCGATAGGAGGTCTGACTAAAGTCGAGAGAGAGCATCCGCCTTCGTGAGAGCCTGGACGATAAGTAACTCTGAAATCGGTTAGTATGTCCCACTGTTAGTATGTCCCACTGCACAGGTGCGAGAATGATAGTGGATGGAATGATGGGTTCTTGATCTGGCGATAGGAGGTCTGACTAAAGTCGAGAGAGAGCATCCGCCTTCGTGAGAGCCTGGACGATAAGTAACTCTGAAATCGAATCTGGTGAAAAAGAGTGACCATCTGGCTTGTCGATAGTTGAGTCGTTTGGCTGATTTCAGATATTCTAGGTTACGATGATCAGTGAGAACAGTGAACGGATGTTTAGCCCCTTCCAGCCAGTGACGCCACTCCTCGAATGCTGCCTTCATTGAGAGAAGTTCGCGATTGCCAACATCATAATTCTGCTCGGTAGAATTCAGTTTACGGGAGAAGAACGCACAGGGAAAAAGCTTGGAAGGTTCCCCCTGGCGTTGTGAAAGCACTGCCCCAATGCCTGTGCTTGAAGCGTCCACTTCAACTATGAATTCACGTTCAGGATCTGGGTGGTGCAGGATTGGAGCGGTTGTGAATTTCTCTCTTAGTGAACGGAACGCTGCTAAAGCTGCTGAGGACCAGGTTAGTCGTTGGGTTCCCTTCTTGATCATGGATGTCATAGGAGCAGCAATACTGCTGAAGTTACGGATGAACCGCCGATAGAAATTGGCAAAACCTAAGAAGCGTTGCAGTTCCTTGAGAGTAGTAGGTTGGGGCCAATGAACTACTGCCTGTACCTTCTTCTCGTCCATGGCGACCCCTCCCGAGCTAATCACATATCCGAGGAAGGAGATGGTCTCTTGGTGGAACTCGCACTTCTCTGCCTTGGTGTACAATTGATGTTGAATGAGACGTTTCAGAACCGCTCTGACGTGTTTAACGTGCTTCTCATAAGTTTCAGAGTAAATGAGGATGTCATCAATGTAAACAATTACCCATTGGTTCAGCATGTCTCTGAATACGTCGTTAATGAAAGCCTGAAACACGGAAGGACTATTGGACAGACCGAATGGCATAACGAGATATTCGTAGTGCCCCGTCGTGGTGGAGAATGCAGTCTTCCACTCGTCCCCTTCACGAATGCGGATGAGATTATAGGCACAACGAAGATCCAGTTTGGTGAAATATCTTGCTTGTCTGAGTTGTTCGAGAGCTGCCGGAACGAGTGGTAGACGATAACGGAACTCGGTGGTGATGTCATTGAGAGATCGATAGTCAATCCAGGGACGAAGACCTCCATCTTTCTTTTTGACGAAGAAGAAGCCTGCTGATGCGGGTGACGTGGAAGGACGAATGAAACCTTTGCCGAGTTCCTGAATGTAGGATCTCATAGCCTCTGCTTCGGGTTGTGACAGCGGAAAGACTCTGCCCTTGGGAGGTTGTGATCCTGGGAGGAGATCTATGGCACAGTCACTGGCTCGGTGTGGTGCTTTCATTTTGCTGAATGCCTCGGCTAGATCCTGATAGACACTGGGAAGTACCTCGGTTAAGGAAGTCTCGGTCCCCTTTTTGACAGGCAAGTTGTGAAGACAATTGTGAAGACAAAAGTCTGACCATTGAGTGATTTGCTTCTTAGTCCGGGAAATAGAAGGGTTGTGAAGCTCTAACCATGGAAGTCCGAGGATGATGGGATTTTGTGGTGACTGAAAAACAAACAGACGGATGGTTTCAGTGTGGAGGACTCCAGTGCTCAACTGCAGATCTTCAGTGGTGAATTTGATACGACCGGAGCCCAGAGGTCGGCCATCTAGCGCTGCGACTGCCAGGTGAGAATCATAGGGAACAAGGGAAATATTGTTATTTCTCGCAAAAGACATGTCGATGAAGTTTCCTGCAGCCCCCGAGTCAATTAATGCTACTGTCTCAATGACCCTCCCATTTATCTCCAGATTAACCGCAATCTCAAAACTAGTAGTGGGTTTGGGAATAGAACTCACCACAGTGGAATTGCGAGATGGTCGGGTAGGACAAGTTGCTCTTAAATGTCCCGGTAATCCACAGTACAAACAAAGGCTCTGTCGAATGCGTCTCTCTCTCTCTTCCTCACTGATACGTGTGAAGCCAATTTGCATGGGTTCTACGTCTGAGTTGACTGTTGCAAGTGTCCTGGGGGAAGTGTGCAGACGGTCAGTGCGACGAGATCGAAGGAGATTGTCAATCTTGATGGACAAATCGATGTATTGCTCTAGTGACCGCCCCTCGTCACAACAGGCAAGTTCAGACTGCAACTCCATAGATAAGCCTTTACGGTAGTGGAGCTTGAGAGGATCGTCGGGCCATCCCGTCTGAGCTGCGAGAGTACGAAAAGATAAAGCATAATCCGCTGCCGAACCCCTTCCTTGCCGGAGAGATAGCAATTGCTCACCCGCCTCCTTTCCTCCTATGGAGTGCTCAAACACCTCTTTGAAGCGTTGAATAAAATCCCTGAATGAAGGAAAGGTTGGTCTATCCTCACTCCATACGGCGGTAGCCCACTCCAACGCTCTCCCCGTGAGAAGTGAACACACAAATGTGATGCGGTTCTCATCTGAAGGATATAACATAGGTTGTTGATTGACAAACATAGAACATTGAAGTAAGAATCCCTTACATTTGTCTGGATATCCATCAAATTTCTCCAGGAAGGCGAGCCGAGGACTGGCAGTGTTAGGAATAGCCTGTGCCTGTGGCAGAGTGGGGGGTGGAGCAGGTATGCTGGGTGCGGGAAGCTGAAGTGCTTGTAAAGCCTTTACCAGCTCTTCAGTAATCGAAGTCAATCGATTGAGCTGTTGCTGGTGGGTGGCCAGGACCGATGCTTGCGCAGTGACCTCCGTGGTAAAGTGGTAGAATGCTGCTGGATCGAAATCTGGCGAAGTCTTCTGTAACGAGGAGGCAGTGTCTTGAGAATCCATATGCAGCTTTATTAGAACAGAATTCAAGTCAAACAGGCAAGGGTCAATCACAGGCTTCAATAACAATGTAGATGAGGCAGAATCAAAGTCAGAGTTCAGGCTGAAGATCAGGGCTGGCAGAAAACACACAGGGTAATCGAATAACAAGGCAGATGCAATCAGAATGGGCAGGTAGCAAAGATTCAAGGTCCAGTAAATAGTGATGGGCAGATCGAGGCTTTGTGAAGCAATGAAACAGATGAAGCAAATGTGCTATATTGATTCAAGGCTTCGAATCAATCCGACACCCGTCTCCATGGTGACACCTAGTGGTCAATTGCAGGTGTTGATCTGAAACAACCTTTACAACAATGTGTTTTTTTTATTATTGTATTTTTTAAATATATGATGCTTGTAACCTGTAGTCTCTTCACATTGCATAATGTTATTTTGGTCATGAAAAATTAATATTAATAAAACAAATCAAGCCACAATGTCTCACTTTCTTATAGATTTTTATTTAAAAAATATTAATTTCTCTTCTGTTGTTTCTATTAATCTGAGCTATTGTGCACACAGAATGCCTATTCTTAAAGTCTTTTGCTGTTTTATGAAGGCAAAAAGCCATATAATGGTTTCGATTTTAGTTCATTGGCAAAATATAACGCTAGAGACAATATATATATATATATATATATATATATATATATATATATATATGTACTGTATATGTGTGTGTGTATGGGGGGGGGGGTGTTTTAAGCAAAAACAGGCCTATCATGAATAGCTACAGTGGCGTAGATCGTAGAGCGCATAGGTCTTGAAAGAGCGATTAATGTGCTCGAGTTCGAGCCTGGCTTTTGCCGAACATGAGATGTAAAAAGTATAAACTAACATTGTCTCTAGCGTTATATTTTGCCAATTAACTTAAATCGAAACCATTATATGGGTTTTTGCCTTCATAAAACAGCACAAGACTTTAAGAATAGACATTCTGTGTGCACTTTGCTCACGCGATCCTTCCTGACCGACCTATCAATCAAACCCTGATTCGGCGGAGCAGTCCACCTGATGAAACACTTAGAAGCTTCATTTAGCCTTTGTCACGTGACTGTGGGTGTTTTGAATCACGCTTCAGATCAGTGTTTCGAATCATTTTTGCTTCGGGATCTCGCAAAGCTTCGGAACGTCTGTTTTGCGTCAGCCATCCCTACCAGTAAACAGTCCAGGTCATACACAGGAAATCACACACGGCATAAACGCTCAGAAATGTTTGCATGGCAAGACAAGACTTCGCAAGGATGAAGCTGAGAGAACAGTTTAAATAGAGAGAGTCAATGGGAAACACCTGTGAGACAAATCAACCACAGGTACGGGGATTATGGGATTTGCAGTCCAAGGAGTTAGTACTCAGGAGATGGTGACCTCTGGTGGTGAGTGGAGGGAGCCACAGAGGCTGTATTCGTGACAACATCTGTAGCCTACATAATTTTAAGAAATACATATAACCAGACTAGAATGAATGGAACATCCTTTTTTGCTGTTGGGTTAACTTTTGCACAATATTAAATTTTTTTGAATTTCACACAGGATCAAACGCTCTCTTAGAGGTTTGTACAAATAAATAACTACGTGCCAATCCTGTGAGTTTTTTCTCGAAGCTGACCTAAAATGAGCCTTTAGGCTCTCCAGAGAAACCATCAACCTGCTGGTCAAGACGTTGCCTCGGCAAAAGCCACATGGATGGAGCCACGAAATCGAGGTGGCTGTCTGTCTCTACTGGCTTGCATGTGGCACCTCATACAAAGTTACAGCAGACATCTTCGCCATACCAAGAGCCACCATTGGCAGAATAGTCCACAGTATAGTGGATGACATGATGGCCATTGTTCACAAGGTGATTCATTTCCCCAAACCAGGAGAGATGGAGGAGGTGGGGGCAGGCTTTGCTCGCTTGGCTGGCCATGGGGCATTCCGCTGTGCAGCTGGAGCAATAGATGGGTGCCACGTCAGAGTACTTCCACCTGCTGAACCACAAAAGAACCGTTACTTTAACCGCAAACTCTTCCAGGAAGTGGTTCTCCAGGGTGTGTGTGATGGCAAAGGGAAATTTCTGGATATTTACATTGGCAACACCGGGTCAGTCCATGATGCCCTTGTCCTCCGGAGATCTCCAATGTACAAGGAGTCCCTATATCCACCAGCTGGCTTCTTTCTTCTTGGAGATGGGGGGTACCCATGTCTGCAGCATCCTCTCACCCTCATGATGCCATGCCGCCAGCCTGTAACGGGTAAGAATGCACAGAAAATTGTTTATTGGACGTTACTGATTGTTGAAACACTACATATATTTTTACAGTACATAACCTGTATTTTAATCATCAGGCCAAGTTGAAGCACGCTTTAACAAGCACTATGCCAAGGCAAGGAACATCATTGAGCTTACCTTCGGAATGCTAAAAACCCGCTGCAAGCCATCTTCCTGGGGGCTTTGGAGATTCGGCCTCTATTTGCCCCTAACGTTATTGCAACATACTGTATCCTCCACAACCTGTCTCTCGACAGATGATATCCTAGAGGAGGAGGAGGAACTTCACGATGAGGATGAGGAAGATTAGGGGAATATTCCTGAAGATGATAAGGAGTTATCAGGAAATAATCTCTGTGCCAGACTTGCTGCACAGTTGTCTGTCTCTGGAGAGCTGCCTGCATGTTTGAGGGAGCATGATTATAATTGAGGGGAGAAACCTGAGTGAATGCCCAAGGACAATAGATGCAAATTAGCTGCTAGCTAACTCTGTTGCAATTATTTTAAGTCTGCATTTTCCCGGTCAAATAAATAGTGGATAAATTAAAATGTTACCTTAAAAATATTAATATATCTAATTTTATCATTATATTAGTTAGACATGTAAAATTGTTAGCAATATTGTTGAGTTGATGAATTATAAAAAATAAATACTGTGTATTGGTCACTGACTGTTTTTTTTAAGCACACCTAGCAGAATGGCAATGACAACAGGAAAAAATACCTTCAAATCACCAACTATTTTAGTTGAAAAGAAACATACCAAATTTGATGGCTGTCTGCACATAATATCAAAAATAAGGCATGATTCTGACTGCTGTTGTAAGATTTGCTTCCTCACCTTAAGTCAAAATATATCTTTCCTGCATATTACTACTTGATGTACTACAAATGAAGAGTCTAGATGCAAAAGCCTCTAAATGCCATTTGAAATTTTCTTCTTTAATGATGATTTTTATCAAACTTGTATATTTACGTTCAGTAATTTCACTTAAATAACAATTAATAGGTAATTATCATTGCCATTTAAGTGAAATTACTGAACTTAAATATACAAGCTTGATAAAAATGATAATTCTAGAAGAAAAAATTTCAAATGGCACTTAGAGGCTTTTGCATCTGAACTCTTCAAATGTTTATTTATCATGTTTATTATTATCATGTTTGTTTATTATATTTACACCATCCAGACTGAAACAATTTCAAAAATATTTATAGAAGAAAATCCAATACAATAATGAATTAACAAGAACATTTCAAATAATATAGCCTATTTACAACTTATTTACAAGTCTCTCAAAGAGAGTTAACTATATCTCTGCCCTGTCAGAGGCTGCTCTTTCCCTCGCCACTGCCTCCTGCACTCTCTCCTCTTCCCTCTCTTCTTGCTCCTCCATAAAATCCAGGAGTGCCTCACTGACCCTGGCCCTCTTCCTTGGTGGCGGGTTGGCCCGTTCTTTGGGAGGGGCAGAGGACGGAGAGGTGACAACACCACCTGACAGTCAGATTAGCTGACACTACCAGGGGCGGACTTATTGAGTCCTGCCCCTGGAGTGCAGCATCCATCTGACTGTACCACTGCCAGGTTTTTATTTTTTTAAACATAACTGCTTTTGAAGATGTAAATTCAGTCAATCTGTTGGAAGAGATTTGTTCCATAGTGTAAAATAGAAATGCATGGTAATTTTAATAACATGTTTATTCGGGATTTGAAAGAGTGTCATCAAAATGATTGAACCCAAGTTAGCTGAAACAAACTTATAAAAACTTGTAAAAAACAATATATAAATAAAGGTGACTTGACTTGTTCTGAAACCTTTCTAGTATTATTTTTTTCAGCAATTTGAGCTCTTCTGTGTGATACATAAATGAGCCTTGAATGCCCCCAGTTTTTTGTCCTTGTCACTCAGATCTATTGCTTGCCAATTTTTCCTGCTTACAAACTGACAGTTCACTTGCTGCCTAATACATTCCAACTCCTGACAGGTGCCACTGTATAAATATATACTGTACAGCAATATAATCAATGTTATTCACTTCACCTGTCAGTGATTTTAATGAATATATATACAGTGCCCTCCACAATTATTGGCACCCCTGTTTAAGATGTGGTTGAGGACTTTTAAAAATTCTCCCTTTTTTTTAAACAACATAGAACCCAAATGCAAAAAAAGAGAAAAATCCAACCTTTTATTCAAGTACATTACTTTGGTGGTAAAAAAAAATGTAAAAATTTAGAAAAATAAAAACTTCAAATCCTGTGTCCCACAATTATTGGCACCCCTAACAATTCCGCTGAAAAATGTAATTGATTTTTAAAAAAATATATATTTTCTGTAGTTGCTAATGTTGGTCAGGATATCTAGGAACTTTTAATTAGTAATTCATGACTTCCTATTTCCCTGGGGTATAAATATGACATGACACAGAGGCCTAATTCTCTTACCCATTTGTCAACATGGCAAAGACAAGAGAACACACCATTCAAGTAAGGCAGATGTGTGATGACCTTTATAAGTCAGGCAATGGCTACAAGAAAATAGCCACTCACCTTATATTGCCCATATCTAAAGTTAGAGGAATCATTAAGAAGTTTAAAACAACAGGAACAGTGACAAACAAGGCTGAAAGAGGTCCCAAGTTTATCTTGCCACAACGCACTGTGAGGAGGATGCTAAGAAAAGTAAAAAAAAGTCCTAAGCTCACTGTCACAGAATTGCATCAAATAGTGGCATCTTGGGGTCACAAAATCTCCAAAACAACCATCAGACGCTCTCTACATGCCAACAAGATGTTTGGGAGGCATGCTAGGAAAAAGCCTTTTCTCACTAACACTGACAAACGTAAACGTCTGGAGTTTGCCAAGCGGCACTGGGACTTCATCTGGGATCGTGTGCTTTGGTCGGATGAGACTAAGATTGAGCTTTTTGGCAACAAACACTCTAAGTGGATCTGGTGTAAAACAAAAGATGTGTATGCCGAAAAGTACCTCATGCCCACCGTGAAGTATGGTGGAGGATCTGTGATGCTGTGGGCCTGTTTCTCTTCCAAAGGCCCTGGGAACCTTGTTAGGGTGCATGGCATTATGAACGCTTTGAACTACCAGGACATTTTAAATAAAAACCTGATGGCCTCTGCCAGAAAGCTGAAGATGGGTCGTCATTGGGTCTTTCAGCAGGATAATGATCCAAAACGTGTGGCAAAATCTACACAAAAATGGTTCAGTCACAAACTCAAGGTCCTCCCATGGCCATCTCAGTCCCCAGACCTCAATCCAATCGAAAACCTGTGGGGTGAGCTAAAGAGGAGAGTGCACAAGAGAGGGCCCAGGATACTGGATGATCTAGAAAGATTTTGCAAAGAAGAATGGTCAAAGATCCCTCTCTCTGTGTTCTTCAATCTTGTGAAATGTTATAGGAGGAGATTAAGTGCTGTCTTGTTGGCAAAAGGGGGTTGTACAAAGTATTAACATCAGGGGTGCCAATAATTGTGGGACACATGATTTGAAGTTTTTATTTTTTTAAATTTTTAATTTTTTTTTTACCACCAAAGTAATGTACTTAAATAAAAGGTTGGATTTTTCTCTTTTTTTGCATTTGGATTCTATGTTGTTTAAAAAAAAGGGAGAATTTTTAAAAGTCCTCGACCACATCTTAAACAGGGGTGCCAATAATTGTGGAGGGCACTATATATCATTGATTGATTGAATGATTCATATGAAGTATTAATATATGAACTTGTGTGGTGCTTTTTTCTAACCACCAGTCACACATAAATCATCAGTTTTACCATGTTTTAGATTAAGCCTGAGGATAATATATATCCCTCTCTAGGTTGCCCATGTGCCTGGGCCGATGGAAGGCTACGTAAATTTACTATCATTCATTCTCATACAATTTACATTGTAACGGGCCGGTCCACATTCTACAGGGGCCCTACCGGGAAATCTGGTGCTTCAGATGAGTCGGCCCCTGCAGGGCAGTGTCTCTGTAGGTACAAACACCACAACATACTTCTAGTGGATCATAAGTAATGACTAAGAGGGATTATCAGACTTTATTCTAAACAAAAACTAAGATGAAGGGGTCATCTTTGCCCCATACCCATAGGGTACTATTTGATTAATGCTAGAAGCAAAAAGATCAACCAAACATGGGCCACTGTTCCTTTTTATATTATTTTTCATGCTTTGTGCAAAGATATCTTAGATATTAGACTTCATAACATGTCACAGGATCTCTTGCACAGTTATTACAGCGACAATTAAATAACATTCTGGGATTTAAGCAGATTTAACACCAGGTAATTGTAATATTCTTAAAACACAAACTGTACAAAAACGTCCAAAGACATTTTGGATATAACTGAAGTAGTTTTTCTTCTCAGACACATGAATAGATTAGAACGATTAGATATGACCATGTTGATCTTATAAAATGGGAGCACAAAATAAGAAAATTATCTACAACATTTTAAGCCACTGTATATTCTGAGAATATAACTATAAACTAAAACAGTGTTGCCTTGTAGTATTTTTGCATGATCCCAAGCTGACAAGCATGCTACCCAGATTTTTGTGTAGGAATCTTTAGCTCAAAAATGATCTCACAGTCATCGTAGTCATAGTCTTCAGAAGAACATGTCATTGGTAAAGTTTAACATGGATTATTTCTGTTTGGACCGAAGATGTGTAACTGTAACAAAAAAATCCATATTTATGGGAAAACAGAGGGAAACTGATTTTAAAAACACATGAAGTTCAGGCTCTGAAGATTTCACAGTGTTTGTGAAGCATCCATCAGTCAGGCTGATCTATGGGTCCAGAGACTCCTCATTTTTGCGTTCCAGATTTCTCGCACAGCGTGGACATGTGGTCGAGTTATCGTAGTAGCAATCCCTGGGCAAGATGGCAAAAAAACAAAAAAAAACAAGAACAAAACTTAGAAACAATGAATAGGTACATAACTCAAGCACTTCTAGCTACACAAGCTTTCAGAAAAGTGCAGTTTCGTTCAGCAGCACAATTACATTATTGTTTACCTTAAATACTCAGCATTGTCACAAGGCTGAGTATTTAAGGGGGATAGTTCAGCCAAAAATAAAAAGTACCACATGATTTACTCAATCGGCGTTATATTAAAAAATGTCCTATCTCCCTCAAGCTTTGTAATGGGAGTGAATGGCTGTAGAAAATTTGAAGACCAAAAAAGTGTATCCATCCATTAGAAAAATAATCCATATGACACCAGGGGGATAATAAAGGCCTTCTGAAGTGAAGCCATGCGTTTGTGTAAGGAAAATATCCATATTTAAAACTTAATAAACCATAATCACTAGCTTCTGACAGACGGTCGTACACATCGATTTACGGTGAAAGACTAACCCCTGACCCGACACACAGCGTAATGATGAACGCAGAAGCTCAGAGGAAAGAGCAACAAAACACCAGTCGCAAATTAGCCATTTTGAAGTGAATTGTCGGAGGATTTCTATATAATAGAAGAGGAGTTTCAGTTTGTTGCGCAGCCCTATTTGTTTAAACCGCAAGAAGCATTTAGAAGCTTTCAATACTCCTACGTCATACATGCACCACGGGTTACTTTTGTGGCGCAAGTCAACTTGCGTAGTATGTGTTCAGTCGTAACACCACGGAGCCGTGTGGAGTATTTTTATCATGGATGGATGCAAATTTTCTCCAGCCATTCACTCCCCTTACAAAGCTTGGAAGAGCCAGGACATTTTTATATTAATTCCGATTGTATTCGTCTGAAAGAAGAATGTCATGTACAACTAGGGTGGCTTCAGGGTGAGTAAATCATGGGCTAATTTTCATTTTTGGGTGAACTAACCCTTTGAGGGTTTACATTTTCTCTTTCAGGTCAACTACTGTCATAGCAAACCAACAGTGAAGACAATATCGCTGAGTGTAACGGAGGCCAGCTAGTAGTTGCTGTGCAAGTAAAGTCTTTAGCCTCCTTGTTAGAGCACCTGACTCTCATGCCGGAGACCCGGGTTCGAGGCCCGCTCGGGGCAGGTCAAGTTAGACCCGGGTGGAGGGGTTACATGAGCGAAGTTAGGAAGAGTAAAATATATTTATATCAATCTACCTTTAGGGCAAGGGTATCCAACCCTGCACCTGATAACTTCCTGCAGACTTCAGTTCCAAACCTGCGCCAACATTTCTAACTGTAATTTTAAAAGTAACCCTAAACACCTTGATTAGATGTTTCAGGTGTGTTTGATTGTGGTTGGAGCTAAACTCTGCAGGATAGTAGCTCTGCAGCAGCAGGGTCACATACCCCTGGTATAGGGGATTAGCTATAGAAAGGCACAGATATTTGTAGGACTCTATTACCCTCTTATTGAGGTTTACAGTCAACACTGTAAAATTAAAAAAAGCATAACATTAAGTGTAAGTCAAGTCAAGTCATCCTTATTTATATAGCGCTTTTAACAATGCAGATTATTTCAAAGTAGCTTTACAGAGATAAACTTAATATAATTTAAGACAGGTGTGCCCAACCCTGCTCCTGCCGATCGACTGTCCTCCACAGTTCATCTTCAACCCTAATCAAACGCACCTGAAGCACCCAATGGGCTCTATGCACGGCGGTATTTCCGGTGAAGGTGTAAGGATGCTCGATAACTTCCGCCAATCGTAGAGTCCAATGCAAAACCGAGAATTTGTTATTATACTCCATGGTTATACTAAAGAAACGTTAGTCACAAAAACAAAAACACTATATACAAACCCAATTCCATAAAAGTTGGGACACTGTACAAATTGTGAATAAAAACAGAATGCAATGATGTGGAAGTTTCAAATTTCAATATTATATTTAGAATACAACATAGATGACATATCAAATGTTGAAAGTGAGACATTTTGAATTGCCATGCCAAATATTGGCTCCTTTTGGATTTCATGAGAGCTACAAATTCCAAAAAAGTTGGGACAGGTAGCAATAAGAGGCCAGAAAAGTTAAATGTACATATAAGGAACAGCTGGAGGACCAATTTGCAACTTATTAGGTCAATTGGCAACATGATTGGGTATAAAAAGAGCCTCTCAGAGTGGCAGTGTCTCTCAGAAGTCAAGATGGGCAGAGGATCACCAATTCCCCCAATGCTGAGGCAAAAAATAGTGGAGCAATATCAGAAAGGAGTTTCTCAGAGAAAAATTGCAAAGAGTTTGAAGTTATCATCATCAACAGTGCATAATATCATCCAAAGATTCAGAGAATCTGGAACAATCTCTGTGCATAAGGGTCAAGGCCGGAAAACCATACTGAATGCCTGTGATCTTCGGGCCCTTAGACGGCACTGCATCACACACAGGAATGCTACTGTAATGGAAATCGCAACATGGGCTCAAGAATACTTCCAGAAAACATTGTCAGTGAACACAATCCACCGTGCCATTCACCGTTGCCGGCTAAAGCTCTATAGGTCAAAAAAGAAGCCATATCTAAACGGGAACCAGAAGCGCAGGCGTTTTCTCTGGGCCAAGGCTCATTTAAAGTGGACTCTAGCAAAGTGGAAAACTGTTCTGTGGTCAGACGAATCAAAATTTGAAGTTCTTTTTGGAAAACTGGGACGCCATGTCATCCGGACTAAAGAGGACAAGGACAACCCAAGTTGTTATCAGCGCTCAGTTCAGAAGCCTGCATCTCTGATGGTATGGGGTTGCATGAGTGCATGTGGCATGAGCAGCTTACACATCTGGAAAGGCACCATCAATGCTGAAAGGTATATCCAAGTTCTAGAACAACATATGCTCCCATCCAGACATCGTCTTTTTCAGGGAAGACCTTGTACTGAAATGTCAACTGAAATTTCTTGGAAAGATATTTTTCCAGTGTTTCATGAGCAGAACAATCCGAAAACACATTAAATAACAGTACAGCCCATTGAAGAGATGCATGTCTATCCCTCACAGCCTCGCTTTCATTCTCATTAAAAATCAAAGATGGCGCTGTCGTGAATAAGGCGTATGCTGAAAGGTATATCCAAGTTCTAGAACAACATATGCTCCCATCCAGACATCGTCTCTTTCAGGGAAGACCTTGTATTTTCCAACAAGACAATGCCAAACCACATACTGCATCAATTACAACATCATGGCTGCGTAGAAGAAGGATCCGGGTACTGAAATGGCCAGCCTGCAGTCCAGATCTTTCACCCATAGAAAACATTTGGCGCATCATAAAGAGGAAGATGCAACAAAGAAGACCTAAGACAGTTGAGCAGCTAGAAGCCTTTATTAGACAAGAATGGGACAACATTCCTATTCCTAAACTTGAGCAACTTGTCTCCTCAGTCCCCAGACATTTGCAGACTGTTATTAAAAGAAGAGGGGATGCCACACAGTGGTAAAAATGGCCTTGTCCCAACTTTTTTGAGATGTGTTGATGCCATGAAATTTAAAATCAACTTATTTTTCCCTTAAAATTATGCATTTTCTCAGTTTAAACATTTGATATGTCATCTATGTTGTATTCTAAATATAATATTGAAATTTGAAACTTCCACATCATTGCATTCTGTTTTTATTCACAATTTGTACAGTGTCCCAACTTTTATGGAATTGGGTTGTATAAAATTACATCTAAACGTACGTTTCGTTTCAAAGACGGGAGGACAGTAAATTTTGAAGACTCTGCCATAATCCCGTTTTCCTCGGTTTTTCTCCGCTTTAATCTCCACAACCGGAAATGGACGAGCATCCTTGCGTCAAATGCGGAACTTATGCGTGCATATAGCCCATTAAGGTCTTCTGGATCACTTGAAAATTAAAGTCAGGTGTGTTTGATTGGGGTTGCAGATAAACTGTTCAGGACAGTCGATCGGCAGGAGCAGGATTGAGCACAGGTAACAGGATTTAAGGTAACAGAGATTGGTTTGGTTTTATAGTGGTTGCTGAATAATGTTATTTTCCAGTTAGGTTTGATTGATTCACTTCCGCTGAAATAAGTAGCAGTTTATGGTGCCTGGGAAGGGACGGTTTGGCTCACTCTCTTCACAATTTTGTTTCTCAGAAGAAAAAAAATCATACAGGGTGAGTACACGACACGCGGGTGAGTAAATTATGTAAATGATGGTGTCATTTTATCACTTTAAAGCTAGTTTGAAACAATCTGAATTGTAAAGGGCAAGGTGACTTGACCTGACTTGAAAGCATTTTCACTTTTGGGTGAACTGTCACTTAAAGGATGAACTTCTTCAATGCCTTCTGACTTATCACAATATGTCATTTCTAATTTAAAATAAATTACTCCATCTTCAGTGTCTTCATTCTTTCTGATTATCGCACATTGCTGTAGTCATACAAATCTGTTTTACTTATTAAACTCATGGCCATGAGAAAAGGATATGGTTCCCTCATCATAGGATCTTACGGTCACAAGTTCACACTGCATGGTCACAAAATATGAATGTTATTTTTGACTAAATTAATCTTTATGACTTTTATGGCCTCAAAATAATATCTTCGGGCCAAGAATATATAATCAAGTTCCTGTTGAGTTAATATGATTAGCGAACCAAACCTATGCCTTTCCAGGCCACAGTACATATGGAATGAATGTGGTGAGTGAATATGTTTAAAAGCAAACCTGTGGAAAACAGCGAAGCAGTCATTACAGATGGAGGTGTGGCTGTCGAATGGGAAGAGAATGTCACCCTCTTTGCACAATTCACACATGAAGCCTTTGGCCTGGCATTTCTGATGGTATAAAAAAGAGAGAGTTAAGACAGAGATGCTGGCATAATGACACAGCAGAATTGATTTCACTTCAGAAGCTGTTCACTTTCAAGGGGTCATACCATGATCAAATTTTTCTTTTAACTTTTGGGACATTTCATTCAGAAATAACACAAATTGCTGGGGTAGATTGTTCTACTGAGCACAGGCACAGAAAACAAACGATTTCTAGACATGAAATATGAACGGAACAAAATAAGAACTAGATTTTGTTTTTCACTGTAAAAATGTGATCTAATTAATTTTGATAAATCAGTTCAGGATTTGTGTACTTCATCCACCCAAGTTATCCCTCAGTCTCACAGACTAAGTTTAAGACTAGTCCCAGACTAAATTGCATTTTTGAGCTGTTCTAACTTAAAATATGTCAGTTCCATTGTTTTGTCTCGAGATGCACACCAGTACTGTTTTTTTCCTAAGGCATGTTTATAAAAGCTACTAGAAAAAAAGCTTAAGTCCTAATTGAATTTAGGCCTAATCCTGGCTTAATCCAAGCCCTGTCTGTCAAACCAGGCCTATATTATATAAATCATGCTGAACTCAACAGCATACCCACAGTGTGAGCGCAGCAAAGAGTTTCAGACATGAAGATGGTATTTAAAATACTACTAAGTCTTAAAGGGATTGTAGCAAACTAGCTCTATGAAATATGAATAATCAATCATAACTTGTTATAATTGATTATGAATATTTGGATCAGTTAATCAGATGTAGCTACATTAACATTACAACCAATTACATGGTTCATCCTGCGAACACTCATTATTGGTTATTAATATATTAATATAAATGTAAATTTCCCTCTAAATCAAGGAGTATCTCGATAGTTAAAGGAAAGGTAGTAGATAAAACATTCCTCATTAATGGTGAGGCAATACCAACAGTTTATGAGAAGCCAGTGAAGAGTCTTGGGAGATGGTATGATGGGGATCTAAAGGACACAGTTTGAGTGGAAGGGTTGAAGAGCATAAACAGATGTGCTCTACCAGGCAAGCTAAAACACTGGTGCTTTCAGTTTGGTCTACTGCCGAGGTTTCTGTGGTCACTGACTGTGTACGAGGTGTCTTTGACAACAGTGAATAAGCTGGAAGCATTAATAAGTTCATACATCAGAAAATGGTTGGGAGTTCCACGCTGCCTCAGCAGAGTAGTAAAGTATAGTAAAGGAATATTGCAGCTGCCAGTCTCTGCTTTAACCGAGGAGTTTAAGTGTACCAAGGTCAGGCTGGAAATGACCTTAGTAGAGTCACGTGACAAATATGTAAGGGAGGCAGCCCCTGTGTTAAAAACTGGTAGGAAGTGGTCAGCAAAGAAATCTGTAGTAGAGGCAAAGGCTGCCCTTCAAATTGGGGATATTGTGGGACAGGTACAGCATGGAAGAGGGGGTCTTGGGCTTAGTTTAGCTCCTTCTAAATGGCACAAGGCAGGCCCAGCTCAAAGGAGGAAGCTGGTAGTCAACGAGGTGCGAAAGCAGGAGAGGATGAGGTGTATAAAGGCCATTTCCCAGGCCAAGCAGGGAGAGTGGATGAGATGGGAGAGTGTGGAACAACACAAGTTGGGCTGGCAAGACCTTTGGTCAATGGAAGAGAGTAGGATTAGTATCCTTATTAGGTCAACATATGATGTCCTCCCATCACCGCAGAACCTAAACCTCTGGGTAGGAGAGGATCCCTCTTGTCCTTTGTGTTCATCACCTGCCACATTAAGGCACATTTTGACAGGATGTAAGGTGGCTCTTAGCCAAGGTCGGTTTACTTGGCGCCATGACCAAGTACTGCAATGTTTGGCTTTAGCATTTGAAGGCAAGCGTAGTATGACCAACAAGTTGCCGCCTGCAAAACATTACACGCAGAAGTCAATATTCCTCTGCCCAGGCGAGCAACCACCGGGAAAAGGTGTTGGCACCAATTTTCGGACAACTGGAAGCTGCTAGGGACTGGAAGATGCTGGTTGATCTTGATCAACGGCTTATTTTTCCACCTCAGATTGCTACCACTAACTTACGACCAGATATTGTTTTGTGGTCTGGTTTTGTGGCATGCATTGTTCAGGTGATAGAGCTAACAGTGCCATGGGAGGATGCGGTAGATGAAGCATATGAGAGGAAGAAATTGCAGTATGCACGTCTGGCCACTGAAGCAGAACAGCGAGGATGAAGAGTCCAGGTTTATCCAGTGGAAGTGGGTTGTCGAGGCTTTGTGGCACACTCTACAACCCGGTTCCTCAGAAACGTCGGATTCAGTGGCCGGGAGTTGCGTCGCACAGTAAAGAACTTATCTGAAGCAGCAGAAAGGAGCAGCAACTGGCTGTGGTTGAGACGGAAAGATTCTAGCTGGCTATGTACAGGCCGCCACGCTACGGTTTCGTAGAATTCTTGAAGAGTCTGTTTGTATAGGTTGCATTGTAATTACAGTCATTATATTCCTGTGTATATTGCTTGAATGACGGTGGTTGGCCAGATATTGTGTTTTGTGGTAGGTGGTATGCCATACGGAACCGTTTGCCACTGAAACTGCATTATAACTCACCAGTGGGGCTCGATAGCCTTAGTCAAACGGGTTAAATATAATTAATAATTTGTGTGTCTCTGATTGGTCAAGACGCTACAGGATGATTCTGTCATCATTTACCCTCATGTTTTTTTTTATCCGTATAACACAAAAGAAAAAATGATCTGACTCTTTTAAGGAGTTTGAATAAACTTTGTTAGCTTTTTTTCCATTGTCTGTGCTTCTATTTACTGTACTTACCTCACAGTCCAGTTTAATATGTTTGGCAAAAGTTGTGTGAATTTCAGTGAGGGAACAACTGAGATGTCCACTGGAGGTGTCAATCAGGTCCTGTAGGCTGTACATGTCATCATTCTCCACAAAGTGTTGACGGTCTTGAAGCTGTGACATAACAGTTATACCATTAGTTATTTAACATTTCACCATCTTTACCCTATTTCCAGGCAAAATAGAATAGGAAAATATGTTTATATGTTATTTTGTACACGAATACATATTGATAAATTAAATAATGATGGTTGAAGTCTAGGTTGACAAATTCTGATATAAATATGATTTAAAAATAAATAAATATCAATTTTCAAATATTGCAATACAGATCAATACCTTTCAGTATGTGTCTATACAGAACGAAATATTCTGTGATCTATTATGTTGTCAATACTGCTGACAGTGTCTTTATTATCAGTATATTTATGCTTAACATTTTAAAGTTGATGACAACAACATTACGAAAGCAAACTGTGAGATATGTAAACTTGATCTCAAGAGGTGGAAAGAAAAAGGCTTGCCTACATTTAAAACAACAAACCTGATACGGCTCCTCAAAAACAAACACCCGACACAATACAGTGAGTTTACCCAGGCAACCCAGCCGAAGACGAGTCTGGAATCTGGGTCTGTTTTTTCGCTCTTCTTTATTCTTTTTTGTATATATTATAGAAGTATCGGATCGGGACTCGGTATCGGCAGATACTCAAAATCAACTGACTCGGACTCAGACTCGAGGGCAAAAAAACCTGATCGGGACATCCCTATTATATAGTGTATAGACCCCTTTTGCGCCGACGTCACAGTTACGTCACGGCGCTAGCTGGAGGCAAAACAAAGTGAAAACTGGAGGCGGCCAATGCAAACCAGCACAGATTCGGCTACATAATAAGGAGCTTAAATTACTTTTATTATTTTTAAATGTCATCTTATTGTGTTGTTTGGTGCAAGTATCAATGAAAAATGAATATGCTGTATCTGGAACTTTTATTTCTAGAAAATATTCACATCATTAAAATCGCACCGTAATGACACTCTTTACATTGTCGTCTTCTCTGCCCTGGCTCGGCAGAACTGCGGATCATACACACACGTCTTGTACAGGACCATTCAGCACATAGTTATAGGCATCTAAAGATTTATATGCCCTCAGTTTCTCTTTACGATCGGTTTCTCTATAAGGTAGGTGTAGAAGTCAGGCCACTCACCCGAGGTAACGTAACGTTATCCTGTAAGATTGTCCATGCATCGAGTGAGCGTGTAGGCGGCCAATCTGGTTCTGTCCGTTAAAAATAACTTTTGGAAATAACAATCGCGGTCCTGGAGAGTGACTGACCTTACACATTAAGATAAAATCTGATTTTCTCCAGTCATTGTTAAAAAAACAAGCTAATAAAACTTGCTAACTAGCATTAGTGAAGCGGCCAGAGGTATCGTTCTGCCTCCCCCTAAGCTCCGCCCACATAAAAACGTTACCATGTTTACCAACTGAAAAGGGGTCTATAATATAATAGTATTAGTATATACGTAGTATATAGTATTACATATACAAACCCGATTCCAAAAAAGTTGGGACACTGTACAAATTGTGAGTAAAAAAAGAATGGAATAATTTAGAAATCTCATAAACTTATATTTTATTCACAATAGAATATAAATGACATACCAAATGTTGAAAGTGAGACATTTTGAATTGCCATGCCAAATATTGGCTCCTTTTGGATTTCATGAGAGCTACAAATTCCAAAAAAGTTGGGACAGGTAGCAATAAGAGGCCAGAAAAGTTAAATGTACATATAAGGAACAGCTGGAGGACCAATTTGCAACTTATTAGGTCAATTGGCAACATGATTGGGTATAAAAAGAGCCTCTCAGAGTGGCAGTGTCTCTCAGAAGTCAAGATGGGCAGAGGATCACCAATTCCCCCAATGCTGAGGCAAAAAATAGTGGAGCAATATCAGAAAGGAGTTTCTCAGAGAAAAATTCCAAAGAGTTTGAAGTTATCATCATCTACAGTGCATAATATCATCCAAAGATTCAGAGAATCTGGAACAATCTCTGTGCATAAGGGTCAAGGCCGGAAAACCATACTGGATGCCCGTGATCTTCGGGCCCTTAGACGGCACTGCATCACACACAGGAATGCTACTGAATTGGAAATCACAACATGGGCTCAAGAATACTTCCAGAAAACATTGTCAGTGAACACAATCCACCGTGCCATTCACCGTTGCCGGCTAAAACTCTATAGGTCAAAAAAGAAGCCATATTAGAATTAGAATATACTTTATTGTCCCCTAGGGGAAATTTGTCATGGACTCAAAGTGCATGGTGCAAAGTAGTAGCTGCCATTACAAACAATAATACACATAGTAAAACAAATACCAGCTAAAGATGTACATGTAGACTACACACACACTCATGACACATCTAATGAAAATCTAAAAAAATAAATGAAAATAAAATAACATACAATACTAAAACAACAAGCAGAACACCAAGTTATTGCACACTTCTCATTCCTCCTCGTACAATCTAAAAATTTTTATTTAAAATTTTGACGGAGTTGGGTATAAAAGAATATTTGTAACGGTTCAATTTGGTTTTTGGAATTCTGAACCTTCTGCCAGAAGGCAAGAGCTCGTACTCCGTATGAAGGATGTGGGACGGGTCAGACAGAACTCTCCGCGCCTGCCTGAGTACAGACTGCTCATAGATGGACTGAAGGGAGAGCTTTTCAGTCCTCCCCATCACCTTCATAGCAGTCTGTACCAGGCGCTGCAACTTCGATTTGGACTGTGTGGAGAGATTGCCAAACCATGCCGTCATCCCATACCTGATGACACTCTCCATCACTGCCTGATAAAATAAAAACATAATCTTCTGACTGACACCAAACACCCCCAGTCTGCGTAAAAAATACAGCCTTTGCTGTAAACGGGAACATAAATGATCAACATGATCACCCCAACTTAAAAGGTTATCCAGGTGGATACCCAGATACCTATAAGAAGTAACCTGTTTGATCTCTTCCCTGTGAATAGACAGTGGAGTATGATCCCCCACTGACCGAGGGTCAAACACCATCTCCTCAGTTTTTTTAGTGTTAATTGTGAGATAGTTCTTATCACACCACTGAACAAAATTATTAACCTCCGTGAAGTACACTGACGGGTCTGAGTTCTGGTGAAGCAGGCTGAGAATAGCAGTGTCATCAGAAAATTTAAAAAACAGGTTGCCTGGGAGACTATTGGTACAGTCATTTGTATAAAGAGTGAACAGAACCGGTGAGCTTACGCAGCCCTGAGGCGCACCTGTGCTGATGCATTTGGATTCCGAAACTGAGTCGTTAATCCTGACATTTTGGGTTCTATTTGTTAAAAAAGAATAAAACCACTTAATAATAAAAGGGTTAACATTCATCTGGGTCCTTTTCTGTAAGAGCAGATGAGGCTGTAATAAGTTAAAAGCCGAACTAAAATCAATAAACAAAATGCGTGCGTAGGCCTTGGGCTCCTCCAGATGCTTAAGGGTCAGGTGGGTGATGCTATTAATTGCATCGTCTGTACTCCTCCCCTGCCTATAAGCAAACTGGAGTCGATCCAGTTCAGGGTTAACTTCAGATTTCAGTATGGATACCATGTATTTTTCAAAGCATTTCATGACAACAGAAGTTAAAGCCACCGGTCTATAATCGTTGTTTTCTATAGGACAGGGTTTCTTTGGAATGGGAATAATGGTAGATTTTTTCCAAAGGGCAGGAACCAGATGGGAATCTGCAGACCTTTGAAACACAGGGCACCATGCAGGGGTTAGCTCTGCAGCAAAGGTCTTTAGAAGAAAAGCAGAGATGCCATCAGGGCCTGCAGATTTCTTCTTGCATACAAGGCTGAAAAGTGACTGGATTTTGAGAGGATCAACTACTAACCTTGAACAGGGGTCAGTTGTAATTGACTGTAGTACATTATTGCATTCCAAAGAATGGTCCTGTGTATCAAACCTGAGAAAGAAATCATTAAGTGTGTTTGCTTTACTCAACTCATCATATGTCATGAGGCCCTTTCTATGTGTTGTCATGTTTGTAACAGCTTTCATGGAGACCCAGAGTTTTTTAGAGTCCATAGAAACAAAATTCTGTTCTAAGACATCCCTGTGTTTCTTCCTTGCCTCCTTTAATGAATGATTAAGCTCCCTTTGAACAGATTTCAACCCCGTCCTATCATTATTCCTAAATGCCATTTTTTTCCGATTGATGCAGTTCTTTAACTCTCTGGTGATATATGGCTTATTGTTGGGATAGATTGTAATAACCTTCTTGGTGACCACACAATCCACACAGAATTTAATATACTCTGTAATAGTGTCAGTGGCTTCATCGATACCCAAATTATGAAAAATGTCCCAGTCTGTACAGAGAAATGAACCCTTCAGTGTCTCTATGCCGTCTTTAGACCAAACAGTCACTGTCTTAGTGGATGGTTTACTGCTCTTTAAAACAGTCTTATAGGTGGGTATCAGATGGACTGTATTATGGTCTGAGTTTGACAAAGGGGGCTTTGGACTGGCCCTGTATGCATGTCTTATATTACCATAACATTTGTCCAACACTCTACTGTCTCGAGTGCCACAGTTGACATACTGTTCAAATCCAGGAAGGGATAGTTCCAATTTACAGCTGTTAAAATCTCCAAGAATAAAAACCGGGGCTCCCGGAGTGCGTTGCAGTTGGTTGTGAACACAATCTGCAATACGAGCTGCAGCTCGAGCCGCATTCCCACTGGGGGGAACATAAGCTGAACAGATTATGATATTGCCAAACTCCCTCGGGAGGTAAAAGGGTCTTAGAGAAATGCAAAGTAATTCAATATCAGGGTTGCACACAGTCTCTCTCACGGAGTAATTTCTGCACCAACTGTCACTCACAAACACGCAGATACCTCCCCCTCGACTTTTCCCCGAAGTTTCCTCCCTGTCTGCACGGACAAGGGAGAACCCCTCCAGCTCGATCAAGGAGTTGGGAATGTCTTTGTGAAGCAAGGTCTCCGTAAAAACCAGCAAACTCGCCTCACGGTATTCAAAACATACCCTCATGTTGACACGGAGCTCCTCCA